GAAGGGCATGGTTGTTCTACTTTGCTTTCAGAGTGCCCTGATTTGTTTTTTAGTTGTCAATGGACCTTAATTTTATTTTTATTTATATGTGGCGCTGAGAATTGAACCCAGTGCCTCACACATACTAGGCAAGTGCTTTACCACTGAGCCACAACCCCAGCTCGACTGTCCTGATTTTTAAAGTGTTCACATTATTGGACTGTAACATGTTAGGGCTGGCAAAGACCTGGTGGAGAACCTCATTTATTTTCTAGATGAGGAAACTTAGGCCCAGAAGATGGAAGCAGCTTGCCTAAATGTGTAAGGTCAGCTTTAGCACCACGGAGACTGAGTGGAACAGGGGCAGGTGGGAGTGAAAAGAGAGAGAATGGGGAGAAAGTGGAGTAAAGAAAGGCCTTCCCTATCACCACACCATTAGGTAGGTTTCAGGGACAGCCTAGCAACAGCCTAGCAATATCCACTCTCTCACATTAAAACAATTTAATGACTAGTGTGTCTCTTCAGAGATTGCCTCTTCTTCCTACACATTCTGGCTCTTGGATTGATGCCCTGGAATTACCCTCTCCATTTCCAGAACATCTCAGCACTTTGCCTACCTCATCCTGTTACTTATGCTGATACATCTCATTGCCAAAAGCCTCTCCCCTGTTCTGGGTAATTTGTTTTATTGTCTGTGAAATGCCTGGCATATCTTCCCAACAGGAAAAATGCAGTCTGTTCTTAACACACTAAAATACTGCAGACAAAATAAATAAAAATAACCACAAACATATCCAGAAATTTTGTGAACAATTCTAAGACGATGCCCTTAAAGACACAGAAGACAAGTTGTTTCCCCTCCTGCTCTCCACTGCTCTTCCAAACATGTAATGAAGGATGGAACTAATGGGGATCAGACAAGACTTTGGTGGTCCTTAGGTTTCTTCATATTTTTTTCCGCAGGGTTCTTTGAGGAATAAAACATACTTTTGGTTATGGGATTTCAAATACTACATGAAGCCTGAAGCCATAGTGTCACTGAGCAAGGAAACCCACCTGTAAGAGACAATAGATCCAGGCATGGTGGTAATCCCAGTGGCTCAGGAGGCTGAGGCAGGAGGATCACAAGTTCAAAGCCAGCCTCAGCAAAAGCGAGGTGCTAAGCAACTCAGTGAGACCCTGTCTCTAAATAAAATACAAAATAGGGCTGGGGATGTGGCTCAGTGGTTGAGTGTCCTTGAGTTCAATCCCTGATACACTTCCCCCACAAAAAAGAGAGACAATAGAGAACAATAGAATCCAAGCCACCTGGGTTCAAATTCCAACTCTGACACTTACCAGTTTAGATAATTTTCTGATTCACAGTGTGTTTATACACAAACTGATAATAATAAAGTCTTCCATGTGGCACTGTTGTAAAGCCAAAGTAAAATATGTGTGTGAGGTACACACGTACGTGTGCCAGCACAGTGTAGCATAGAGCCTGTCATAGAAGCCATTTAATATGTTGTTACTCTCCAATGTTGTTGCCATTCCTGTTATTATTAGGATAAATATCAGTTCATGGGCTTGAGGTGAAAAAGATTGAAAATAAAGCCAATTACTTAAAAAATATTTCTTATTTTTCATGTAAAATTTATAAACAGCTTGCTTGGAACAGGTGATTCCAACAATGGAACCCACAGTCTATAGTAGTTACATGCTGGGTGAGGTTTAACTAGCTGCCTGGCCTGGTGCTCAGCTGTTGGGGCCACCCTGGTTTTTGCCATGACAATACTTAGCAAGTGAGTAATTGAGAGATTCTCCACCTGACCATCTGTGTAGATAGCCAAAGTGGGCTTCACAGATTGATTGTCCAAACTGATTATTTCACCAATCTATTGTTGGCTGATTGTGTTCCAGGAGATTTTTCTGAAATACGTCAACATTTTGAAAAGACTCTGCGTTTTGCGCTAATGAGGATTGCC